CTGCTGTGTTCATCCAGCTTTACATCTTGTTATCTCAGATTCTCCAGCATCTGCAGTTCCTACTATCTCTTAGCACTGTATCTGTCTGTCTCTCTCTCTGTGTCTGTCTCTATCTCTCTGTCTCTGTCTCTATCTCTCTGTCTCTGTCTCTCAGTCTCTCTCTGTTTCTCCCTCTCTCTTCTCCCCGACCCCTGCTCTGTCTATTGCTCTGTTTGTGTCTCTACCTATCCATTCACTCCTTTTCCCCCACCCCTTGTCATCAACTCAAATAACACTTTTTCCTAGATGTTTTCAGTGCTGAACAAGGGTCAGTGAACTCAAAGTTAACTCTGTTTTCTTTTCACAGGTACAGCCGGACCTGCTGGGTATCTCCAACTAATTTTGTTTTTGCTTTAAAAATTCTACTTGTGCTGGGTTCAGAGTTCACTATTTTGTCTAGATATGGACAAGAAATTGGTTTTTAAAGTTCAGTTGACAAACTGAAATATAAAAGAGAGTTAATCATTAATTCTCCTATAATTTATTGCCAAAGTAAATAACATGCAATTAGACAGTGCAATTCACACCCTCCGTGCAACTGAAAAGAGCTGCTGTCATTCAGGTACTTCTAAAGAGTAAGCACTTCGAATTGTAGAAATCCCAACATCCAATTTATGCACAAAACATCCCACAACCAACAATATGCTAATGATTAAACAGTCTTTAATATGAAGAAGAAATAGAACTGTTATTTCCAACTTTGAATTTTAGTTTACTGAAATGTTTATGTGGATGCCAGCAATTCTGATTCTTGACCCAAACGCTGTCTGCATTTATAAGCTGTTGTCAGTTGGTTCTTTTGTTTGCAGGTGGGTGGGAAGAACATAAGGGAATAGAGAAAATGTCTTTATTTGACTTGACTCAAGATGTTACCTTGTGACCATAACAATTGTTTTCTACGATGACTGTGGCTGAATTTCCTTCCTGCATCCTGGCCCTTGAGAATCATAGAACAATCTTAACACAGAAAGAGGCCATTTGGTATGTCAGACTTGTGCTGGCTCTCTGCAAGTGCAATTTTATGTTCACTGCCAAGGCCTTTCTTCATAATCCTGCAATGTTTCCCTTTCAGATGATTATTCAGTTTCCTTTGAAAGCTTTGACTATATCTGCCTTTACTAGTCTTCCAGGCTGTGTATTGAGAGGGTAGAATTTGGAAGACCAGCTGTTGGAATGATCCAGTTCAAAAGCAACAGGCATGAGAGTTTCAGCAGTTATTGAGTTGAGAGGGAGAGAGTGAGGCAATGATGATTGTGGAAATGCATACTGTGTTGAGAATGTGACGGACAACTCATTTCAATCAAATAGGCCATTGGTTGTGAACTGACCAATTCACACTCAGATTATTACAAGGGGAAAGCTGGATTTGGAAGATGGTGGCACAGTTTGGAGCAATGGCTGAAAGTAATGGCTTCAGTTTTCCCAATATAGGAGGAAACTGCAGGTTGTGTACTGCTGGATATTGGAATAAGCAGTCTGATAATTTAGCGACAGTGTAGGAGTTGAAAAAAGTGGCTGAAGTAGAGCTTGGATGTCGTTTGCCTACGTATAAAAACTAATGCTATGCTTTCAGATGTCTCAGAAGGTAGTATGTAGGCAAGAAATAGAAAACCAAGAATAGATCCTTGTGGTATACCAGTGGTGGTGGTGTTGGAGCAGGAAGAAAAGCCATTGCAGGTAATGATCTTCAGATAGGTAAAAATGGAGGCCATTGACTGCAGTCCAACAAAACGGAATATTAGCACCACTGTTGTGCAGTAGTAGTGTTCATATCTCTGAGCCCCAAGTCCCTCTGAGATTCAAGTCCCAACTGCCCTGGATGTGTGCCGTGACATGTCTGAACAGGTTGTTGAAAGATATCTATGAATGGAGAGGGCTTTTGGGGTGCAGTAGTAGTGTCCCTCTCTCTGGATTAAGAGCTTGGATTCAAGATCCACCTGCTCCAGAGAAGTGTAATAATATCTCTGAACAGTTTGATTAGAAAAAAAATTTCAGTGAAGAAGCATTGGACGAGTATGGTGTTGTTGGTGTAGACAGATCAAGAAAGATAAGGAGACATAATTTATCTTCGATCCATTGTATGTTATATGTGACTTTGATAAACACTACATTTCCTTGTTTATCTACTTTGATCTGATCTAACATATCTTGGTAGACAAAGAAGTAATTGTGTTAACATTTCTGGCCTTTTTCTCCTTTCTCTTCAGGCATTCCCATTACCAATGCATCATATGTTGCGAATATAACACTAGATCAGCTGAAATATGTGCTACGTTCAGACACTGGAGTTCCAATGCCTTTGATTGAAGAACGTCTCAAAGTACTGAAAGAGGCTGGAAATATATTGCTAGAGAAGTTTGATGGTTCGTTCCTTAATTGCATTAAGAAGAGTGAAAATAGTGCTCAGAAGCTGCTACAGCTTGTGGTGGAAAATTTTCCATCATATAGAGATGAAACAATGTTTCAGGTGAGTCTGCTAATGTTAAATCTTCTTTTAGTCAATATTGAGAACTGGGTGGGAGAATGGGCTCATTAATTAATGATTGCTATATAATATTGACACTATAAATAAATGTGAACATTTGCTATGTTTGGGATTGTCAAACTGTGAAAATAGAAACTTTCCATGATGCATTAGTACATATATGGAAGAAATCTTTTCTGTGTTTTTTTTTGTCTTTGTTTTTTGCTAAAAGAATTTTTTTAAGCGATCTGATAAAGGCAGCTCCATTCAGTTCATCTTTCTGCAGAAAAATTATAAAACCTAACTGTTGTATTTTCTGTTTATTCACAACATAGGTGGGGTCAGGCCATAGACCAAAACAGAGCAACGATTTATCTGCAATGTGTCATTTCATCCTGTCTAGTGTGTGGTGTGATTCTGTTTTCTTGAAATATCATATTTGATCCACATTGTCAGATAGAAAGACCACAGAAATGGTCAGAGATTGTACACAATGGCAAAGATGGGTGCAAATCATATAAATGGTAATACAGCAGAATGCACAAAGCAAATTCGTAGCTAACTTTGTGATCCCTCATCTGATGTTTAACAGAAGTAATTATAGTTATCACTGCTAGTAAAATAAAACACTCCAGTACAAAGTCACTGACTCCCATAGCTTCACTATAGCTCTTCATACCCCATGTCCTACAAGGATTCCATCCCATTCTTCCACTTCCTTTGCCTACATCATATCCATTCGGATGATGTCACCTTCCAAAATAGCACTGCTGACACAGCTTCCTTCTTCCATAACCATGGTTTCCTGCCCACTGTGGTTGACAGGGTCCTCAACCATATCCAATCTATCACCCGTGCTTCTATCCTTGCCCCTTCCCATCACTCTAAACAACATGATTGGGTATGCCTTGTCCTTACTTTTCATCCCACTAGCCTCCGCATTTAAAAGATCATTCTCTGCCATTTCAGACAACTCCAGCAGAACACCACCACCAAACACATCTTCCCCTCACTCCCCCATCAGCATTTTGCAGGGACCATTCCCTCCAGGACACCCTAGTGCATTCCTTGACCAACAACACCAAACGTTGCCCCCCTTGCTATGTAACTACAGAAGGTGAAACACCTGCTCCTTCACCTCCTCCTTGTTCACCATCCAAAGGCCTAAACAGTCTTTCCAGGTGAAGCAGCATTTTACCTGTACCTCCTCCAATCTGGTGTATTGCATTTGTTGCACTTATTGTGGCCTACTGTACATTAGAGAAACCAAACGCTGACTGGGTGACCGCTTTGCAGAACACCTCTGGTTCATGTGCAGGCATGACCCCAACCTTCCCACAGCCAGTCATGTTAACACAGCATCTTGCTTGCATACCCAGTTGTTTGTCCTCTGCACACTGCAATGCTCCATTGAATCACCGCAAACTGGAGGAACAACATCTCATCTTCAGATTGTGAACCCATTCCTTTCCTTTCTTTTAGCTTTAATTGTTACATTCTCTGTCACCATATCCTCTCTGCCCTCCCCCCACCACCCCAGTGGGACTGTCTGTTCTTTCATTTTGGCAGTTGGACACACCATTGTTCTGCCATTCTCACATTCCAATCACTTAGTCTACACAATTAACATTCTTTCTCCCCCAGCGCTCCAATCACCCCGCACTATTGCATAAATGCTGACCTCAATCACACTTCGTGTCAGCTCTGATGAAGAGTCATCTAGACTTGAAATGTTAGTTTGCTCTGTCTCCATGGATGCTGCCTGACCCACTCTGATTGCCAGCATTTTTAGTTTTCAGTACAGATTCCAGCATGTTTAGTATTTTGCTCCTTCTTCAGATTTAGTGGTTAGTTATATTTGGAGTTCTGTTTCTCTCCCTTAGGAAGTGATAAAAATTCTATGGCCTAAGCTTTACGCAACGGATGTACCCCTTGCATCCCAACAAATATTTTTGGCAAGAGCCTGCCTCCACTTAGCCCGTTTTCCAGCAATTTCTGCTTTTGCTTCCATTTAGACTGTTTACCCGCCTTTAATTCGTCACACTTCAAGGAAGCAGTCAACACAATTGCCTAAACGCTTTGCATACTCCTAGCCAGGTGTAAGGGGGGAGGGCATGTTTGACACGGCAGAGGGTGCTTTGAATGGTAAAAGGCCTGAGAAGGGGAGCAATTCCCACATCTTCCATTCTCTGATCAGGCTTCACTATTAAGCCTGCTGCATGTTGTGTGCAGGACTTGCCTACTACTTGTTATAAATATTTTCTTATCAACCTGGTGGTTAATAAATGAATAGACACCACAAGTGATTTGATGAGGAGATAAAAATACATGGTTGTGTGTAAGAGCACTAAGAAATATAAAAATATGAAGAGAGAAAAATCGACCTATTCAGCATTATGACACACCTTTGGAGCTGGTGGATCCTGAACCCAGGCCTCATGGTCCAGGGGTAGGAACACTACTGCTGCACCACAAAACGTCCCCTCATGCCCCCTTTCTATTTTTTATAAAGGTATTTCCATCTACTGATTTGCTAGACATTTGATCAGTTTTAAAAATTTATGTTGCGAATTTGGGCAGAGTACTTGTGAATTGGAAGGTAAGAAGTTTAGAATTTGTTTGTAAAAGTGGAGGGGGGGGTTAAGAGTGCGTAGTCCCTTTGAGAGGTGATGTGCTTTTCCAAGCTTGGAGATTTAAAAGAAAATGTGTCCGTAAGCAGCTGCAGATTTATAGCCAGTTCTGAAATTGAAACATATATGAATTAGCTGCGTGACTGGAAACCTTAGGCTTGTTTTGGTGTTTTGGCAACTAGCTTGAAGATCAGCCAATTAATTTAAACCAAGCACTTAGAGATCGAAAACCAATTGAATTTAAATCCAAGGGTTTTGACAACCTCGGACCGATCCAACTATAAGAAAATTGACAGGTCTTCAGTGGTATTTAAGAAGAGGGATTTGAAAATCGGTGTGAGAGCGAATTGCCATCTGAAGAATAAATACCTGGTTCTCACAGAAATCTCTAAGCACTCTGAGAAAGCACCATCTATTCATAAAGGTACTCCACAGCATTCCTAGCTAAGATTTCTGACAGAATAATTCACAGAGAAAGCATTCCTGATAGAAGGATCAGCAGAAAAGGCAAAGAACATTCTGAAAGACTTAACCTGGCTGTACTTTTGAGAGTCTAAGTTTTAATTTATTTTTATTATCACTTGAGTTTGTATAAGTGGGATTTGTATTTATTGGAACAGCATACCATTAGAATTTTGTTCTGTTCGGGAATAGTTAGTAGTTAAGGGGAAATTATTCGATTTGCTAGTACTTACGTTAATTTGTACGCTGTTAGGGTTAAATAAATAAATTGTTACTTATTGCTTATAAAGCGAATATCAGGGATTTTCTTTCATTTAACCGATTAGGTGAGTTTCTCCAGGTGTTTTGTGTTTAATTATTAGAAGGGAATCTCTACTCCTGCTGTAACAGATTGGGGTCCTGTCTTTCAATTTTAATTATCAGGAGGGTTCGACCTCCCCTTCCCAACATTTATTTCACCTATTTTTCAAATCAATTTGTTCAGCGATGTTATTACACACCTCTGGAACAGGTGGGACTTGAACCCAGGCCTCCTGGCTTAAAGGTATGAACACTACAACTGTGCCACAAGAACCCTCCTGCCCTGCTGCTTATTTTTTTCTAGAATGGATGTGAGATAAGGCCCTTAGTGGATATTTATTACATACTTATTGATTTCAATTGGGCCACAGGCAGGCAACCTACCCATTCTCCCTTCTGGGTCTCATTAAAATCAAGGTCAAATGGGTGGGCCAGTGATTGCTGGAATACATGAACTGAGCTCGATTCAAGAAGGCAGCCCACTGTCATCTTCTCAAGGGCAGTTAGGGGCAGGCGATAAAATTCTGGCCAGCCAGCGATGCTTATGTCCCACATGTGAATAAATTGTTGCCAATGGCACAGAATCCTAATTCAGGGGTGTGCCTGCTTGTTTTCCTGTCCTGTAGAATTCAGCTCTACGTGAATGAAGGTCAAGGCTACAACTTTAAGAAACAAATGTTGTTTAAAATAGAAAATGAAAAAAGTGCAGACAAAAAGACCTTCAGATTATATGCTAATGCTACAATAGCAGGAAGCCAGTAAAAAAATGATCCAGTCAATAAATTAATGAAGTGCAGAGTGCTGGTATATGAGTTGGATTAACTGTTTGTGAGGTATGTCAGTCCTCTGAGTACGTGGCACTGTATTCTAGAGCCTGAAGACCATCAGAGGAACCCAAAAGATTTATTAGAACTCCACTTGCATGTTCAGTCTTGCCCAATTTAATGTGTGCCTAGAATTTGGAGAGCTAACTGGAAAGAAACTTAAAATTGAGGCATGCCATAGCACATTGCCTACTTCATCACGCCTGGGCCTGAAGCTTGTAGATGTTTGCTCTCTGAAATGTGTGCAGCGTGGATTTGGTGCGGTTGTGTTTGCCTTAAGTTGCTTTGCTACTTAGATCTTTGGTACCTTTTATTTAGAAATCAAACCAGAAACACAAAATGTTGATACTATTTCATGGTCATGTTTCTAGGTATCAATTTTTCATGTTTAGATTGTGGATTGATTTGCTAATTTAAGTGCAATACTGTATCTACTATGAAACAGTGAGTGACTGTAGTAATTAAAGCAGCAGTTAATCCACAAAGCAACTGTTGAATGATCTGTTTTTTGCCACCATTCTTGTACCCAGAAAACCATTGCAGATATTTATAACTGTTTGCCTCAGGTGACACTCCTGACATATCTGTTTAACAATGGCTTGATAAAGGTGCTCTGGCCTTAACTTTCTGCTCATCATATTGTCATCCATTTTCAAGGCTGATTTTCACTCGTGTCCTTTCAATGCAGATGTACCGTAGACATCAGCTGTGGTTGTATTTCCTCTGCTTTTTTTTTTCTTCGCCTGTGTCGGTAGCCAGATTGATTGCAGCATTCACAATCTGGAAAAAGAGATCCATTTTAGTATAGCTGCATCAGATGTGTAACCAATCAATTCTTACAAACTAAATTAATAGCTTTTGTTAGTTTCATTTGCAGCTCCACAATGAGGAGACATGCTAATTCTGTGACTCCCAACTTGCTTTCAGCATTTCTATAGCCAGTTTTAGCAGCAGAATGCCATCTGGGTATGCCCAGCAAGACCAAGTACCTTTGGCTCTCACTCCTGAGATGCAGCCAGCAGCAGCTCCTGTGCCAGGAGACATCTGCTGTGATCATGTACTCATGACCCATCTGTTCAGCATCTGTAATACAGCATTTTCCACCCTTCTGTTTCTGAGCAGACTATTGCTCAGAGCAGGAGAGCAGCTAGCTAAAAGCATCATCTAGGAACAGGGATAACAAGGTGTAATATTTTCTGAAGAAGGGTCTAGGCCCGAAACGTCAGCCTTCCTGCTCCTCTGATGCTGCTTGGCCTGCTGTGTTCATCCATCTTTACACCTTGTTATCTCAGATTCTCCAGCATCTGCAGTTCCTACTATCTAGGAACAGGTGTGCTTCTAGCAATATTTTGAGCAGAAAATTTGCTTTTCATGCTCTTTGGCTTAGAATCATAATGTTTTACCATGCAGGAGGAGGGCAGTCAGCCCATCGTTGTGATTCTTTGGTTGGACTATCTAGTTAGTCTCACTCCTCTACTCTTTCACCTCAGCCCTGCTAATTTTGCTTTTTCAGTGGTTATCCAATTTCTTTTTGAAAATTTCCTCCTGAATCTGCTTCAATCACAAACCAGATCATTGCAATGTGCTGTTGGGAAATTTGCGTGGTGTGGACAGGGAAAGGGGACATTGACACCTGGATTTTTTAAAGCCAGGTAGCTTTTTATTCCTCATTTGAACCCATAAAAATGATTGGCATTGATATCTAATGCAAAGTATCGTCACACTGCTCTTCAAACCAATCTCAGCAGTGTAGGCCAGTTGACTGATGAGATGACCTTTGTGAAAGTAGTTTCTGGTTGCCTAAGGGTTGAGAATTTTTTTCACTTTTTTACATCTATGTTTACTTTACACTTACATTTCTTTTACTGAGCATCTTGCTCCTTTTCCACTAGGGACCAGCAGAAGCAGTGGAACCATTAATATTTTATACTAAATGTTCATCTGCAGTCTGATTTTACTTTGTTATTCAAGCCTTATTAGTTAGACCCTCCAGTGCTGCAAGTCATAGTGTTAAATATTTGGTGGTACACTTGCATCCCACCTTCCTTGTTGTTCTGCCACAGCGTGATACCATGATGAGTCGTAATTAGTAAACGGAGTTATCATGCCAGCCTCTGAGTCTGAGTCACTGCACAGGATTAAGAGTTCTATGGTTTTACGAAGGGTCTTTGTTTTCTTGTGATGCAATAGATAGTAAGGTGGTATTATCACATCTACTGACATCAATTCTAAAGACAATTCTGAAATTTATGGAGTGATATGTAAAGGATTTGAGATGTGTTGAAAACATTTTATATCTTCATATTTTACAACTGTTGTTCAGGGCAAGAAAGTTGCTTTTTACAAAAGGGCACAAATCCTTGTGGCAGATATCTGGGGCCTACTGGAAGGAAAGGAGGATGGTTTCTTTCATGACATAGCCAGTCTGACTATGTTTGCAGACTACAGAATCCCTCAAGTACTTGTCCACCTCGGAGCCATGAAATACTCAGAAAAACTAATGGAGAAACTTAAACAAGGTTTGTAATCAATTTAGTATGAATTCAGCATAATTATGGGGAATGCGTCAAACTGCACACGATGTAAGTAGGAGTCACTGATGGAAGAAACATTTATTCAGTTCCTTCAGTAAATTTCCAAGGGCTCAATGTGAGCTACTTAAAAACTGCTTTACAACGTTTTGTCAGAACCTCATCTATTTGGAAGGTAGCTGCGCAGTAGATGTTTGAAGTGGCATGTAAAAGAAATGAAATCTGACTCTTCAGTAGTACAAATGGCAAACTTGAAGGCAACTCCAAGTAAAAAGTTACCATTGCCAGAATAGCAGTTGGAGACTATTATCACAGGCTTGTGCATAGATAGCTGTTGGTTTTCTCATTCATTTCACTTTGCCCTTCTTCACCCTTCCAGTCCTTAATTAGAGGACAAACTCAGACAGACAGCTAATTGGTCATCCTCTAGAAAACTGACCTGGAAGCCTCCGGTGCTCTAATGGACAGGTTTACAGACCCATAAATGGTCTTAACAGCTGAAAGTAACTGGAAATTCTAGCCCAATGTAGTTGCAAAATAGCAGAAGAACAATTGAGTTGTTTAAAATGTAAGACCATTTTGGCAAAGCTTTATCCATAATTATTCAGCTGAACAAGAATGTTCCATTTTGTAAATACTCTTGAGAAAGTTAGTTTCACAATATGATATCTTACAAGTTTAAATTTGTTCTCATTTTGTTCGGGTTCTCATTGACACAACCCACTTCTACTGAAGTTTAAAGTTGCATTTTTATTCACATCCTAGGTGTGTTGTTCCAATCAGGGGATTGTGAAGAGGTGGAGATTCGAGGCTGCTCCATTTGGTGTGTTGAGTTAATATTGCGTTGCATACTGGAACTTGGAGCACAGAAAGGGTGCACAAATGCACACATCAATTCTGTTTTGATCGATTATTACTTGTGGGACTATGCTAGAGATCACCAAAAGGATATGGAAGACATCCCCATCCATCATGTTCGCTGTATCTATTACTAATTAGATATTATAGATTTCTATGAAGTGAAAAGATGCAACCTATTTTGGGAGAAAGAACAATGTTCAGTCATTAAATTGTAGACTCTTGTCTTGGTTCATATATATGAATTTGCAAATTAGCATAATGATCTTTTACAAAACCTTGTAATAATAGCTAACGCAACTAGATGGTATAAAAGAAAGCAATGCATTTCTCAAAGTAGGTTAGTGATCAAGTTAATTCTCTCCACTGAATTCCTAAAAGCACCTCTGTATTGCAGTGCAGAATGAAGATAAAATATTTTGTCAGAAAGAAGTCTAAAGAAAATGGGCTGGGTACCTTTTAGTGAGTGGCCTAGTAAGTGTACTTGTACCCAAATGAGAACAACATTAGGTTTTTTTTTTCCTGGGAGTTGGCTACATATCTGCCTTACATCCCTTCCAAATGGAAATGATAACTTGTTTTGAAATATGCCATTTGAAGTCTGCATAGTAGGCCAGATCACAACTGCGTATAATCATGGCAATTTTAAAGATTATTCACCCAATTGAGTTCCATCCCAGCTCTTTGTAGAGTGGTCCAATCAGTCTTATTACCCCACTGCCCAACAAGTTTATTTCTATTGAGAGTCCATCCAATTTCCTTTTCAAGATCATTTATCATCTCTGCTTCCATCACCCATGTAGATACCAGGATTCAGGCCATTACCACTGTATGGAAAAAAGCAATTTATCACATTTTCCCCTACGAACACATCCTAAAGATCTTGCTCCATGGTCTTTATACCTTTAGCTTATGGGTACAGCTTCTCTTTGTCTGCCTTATCCAAACCTGCCATGATCTTGTGCACCTTTTTAAAAATCTCCCATCTCCAAACTCCTTTGTCCAAGAGCAATCTTAACTTCCTGAACTTAATCTTGTAGCTAAAATTCCTCCACCCTGGAACCATTCTAACAAATTTCCTCAGCACCTTCTCAGGGATTCTCATCTCATTTCGATGTGACCAGAACTGGACACAATACTCTCTAGATATGGCCTAACCAAACCATTGTAAAGGTTCAAATGTACTTGGCATTTTATTGATAAACCAGCAATTTTTTTTTTTTTAAATCAAAGTTTCTGCACAGCTGGCCTCAAAACCTCTCATTTCAGTACCAGTCTGTAAGGAATAGGTGGTTACCCCACTGAGAACATGCCTGTGGTATGTGTTGAGAGGTGATATCTAAATGGATGTTTGGAAAGATGGTGTGTACTCTTATGTGTGCTTTAAAGATATAAGTTTTAATTTAAATTTATACTCTGAAGCTTTCTTGTTAAATTTAAGCAAATATCAACCAATAAAGTTGCACTTTTACCTGATTCTAATCACACGCCAAGGCTTTATCTTTGTCCCATCTCATTAAAGTCTTGCTGATCATGAGAACGATCAAACACTTTATTTTGCCATAACCCTTTGTAACCTTGATCTATCAGATCTTTTTCCAGCTCCAATAAAAAAAACCTGACATCTGAAGAATCTCTTCAAAACTGATCCTTCATTTTTCTAATGGTTCAGTAATAGCTTTTCTTTACAAATCAAAAACTATTTTGTTTACATCTCATTTTCTTGATCACTGAAAGATAGCACCTGCTTAATTAGCCACAGCTCAATTTTCATTGACCCTGATTTAATAAGTTCACCTAATAATCCGTAATTTTTTTAACTGAGGAATTTCTTTACACAGAATGGGAAGAACATGGAACAGATGGAGAAGTTGATGTAGATGATTTTAAGAAGAGATTTGATGTCCATATAAGGGAAAAGAAAATAAAGGGATGCAGTAGAGATAACTACATCATTTTTTTTCTTCTGATAGTCTCTCAAAGTGAGAATGCGTGCTAAAGAGTGCAGCCCATGGTAGGAACCTGTGTGTGGACTCTTCTTTAATGTGAGAGTTGGTGCTATTGCATTGCACCTACCACACTGTTCTGGCTAAGCTGGTGACTCTCCTGGCCTTTACCATCTGCTGTAGGCATATTGGAAGGATTTGCAAGTTGATGATCACCTCTTTATTTGCAGCATGAATGCACCCTCCATAGCCATCAAGTCCTAGAGTGGACTTAAACCTGAATATTCTGATGGAGGAATGCTACCCATTGCACCACAAGATTTCCACCGGGTTTCATTAAGTGTTTAGAACAGAAGGTCCTCATTGCTGTCATTATCTTATGATGTCAGACGTGATCTGGGATATCCTAAGTGAAATCACTGCCAGCAATTGTTGCTGGTATCTGTATGTGCTACTGATACCATTTGGGGAAAGATTCCCATATGACATCTTAGGTTCAATTTTTAAATAGTAATAAATCAATTTATTCATTACAATTAATATCTAATTACATTGCATCTAATATGCATGATTATCTCTTGTGAAACATCAGGCTGAGCTTAAACAGCTAATTTCACATTACAGTTACTAAAACATTCTTGATAATATCAGTAGCAAAGAGAATCAGCTGTTGAGCCCATTAACAAACACTAACCGCTATAGTTAGTTCTTGCTAGGAAACATCCTGTATATATTGAAGGGGAGTACATTTTGAGATTTCTGTTAACCCTTTTAGGTGCTAACTGCCTTGTATAACAAGCCCAAGAGGTGTTTATGATCCACATGAGTCTCCTCCCTCCCGACTGTATCCAACTCCACCTTCTTTCTTTCTTCTTTGTGCTGATTTAGATTCCACCTCAAATGCATTTCAATTACTTGTGTGTTCTACGTTCTTAATTTGTGAAGTAAATAAGGGAGTTTTGAACTATCTATTTCAGAGGTTCCAACAATTATTATATTGCATACCTCTTCTAAATCTACCAGCTGTCTGCATACCCCTACCAGCTGATAAGTTAAATATTTTAACCACTATAATGCCCAAACATTGTTTAAAATTTACAAATAATACTTTTATGGAACTTAATACCAGAATATTACTACATGGCAGTAATATGATGAATTAGATTGTTTCTTGGCATAATATTTGAAGTGAAGGATGATAGTTTGAGACGTAGGTTTTTCAGTAAATTGGCCATGGAGGCATAATTTTTTTTTTTGTGCATTTCCACATTTAGGTAGACAATACCTCTGCTGCACTTGCCAAACTCTGAAAATTGCTATTCTTTTCAATACTGAGTTGAGTTTTAAATCTCATTCCTAATCATCAACACTGCCTGTCTCTTCCTGTGCAACATAGCCATCCCACTTTCACTAAAACCATTATTCATTTTTTGTCACCTCTCATCTTGGATTATGTCAATGCCTTCCCACCCTTCATAAATCTCCTTCATCCATTACACAGCAACATGTATTTTGTTCTTCACAGAGTTTTATTTGCCCATCCCCTAGACCTACACTATCCCACAATGTTGCAAGTTTAAGCTACTTGGTCTTCTCAAATTGCCCCCTATCTGTACAATGTCCTCTAATTCTTAGTTACTTTTCATATATCCAACTTCAGATTTTGTTTTTTTTTAAGCAGCTCCAGTTGTGGATCCTTTGGTGACCCTGACTATTTACTAGCTTATGTCATCATGAAGGCCCCACCTTCTCAACCTTGACCCTTGCCTGAGGTGACCCTTAGCTTAAACACTGCTAGTTGTCTCTCTCTAATGAGAAAGGAGCCTTTTGTCCTCTGGAAATATCGCGACTATCACATTTCATATCATTTGGAGGATCCACCAATCTTTACTCCTTTAAAAGTTGTCCAAAAACCCATCATCTATGCTTGATTTTGATCATCTCCTAATTGTTGGCCTTGGTTCACATTCCCTTTCCCCTACCAATTCCAGTTTAAGCTATCCCTCAGACAACTTTTTTTCTTTAACTTAAGAGCTCTATATAAATGCTATGTTTGAATATTGCTATTTAAGTTATTTTGTTGTAGCTGCACAACAATCAACCACACTTTTTCAAAATCCCTTTAATTTTTGTACCATCATACACACATATCTCCCTGTCTGCATTTTGAAGAGACCATCCCCACCCCACTACCTTGGACAACTCCTCAATCACCCCTAATGTCTGTTCCCTTCCCACAGTACCTTCCCATGCAGTCACGGGAAGTTATTAGGTGACCTGTCCTTTTACCTGCGCATTCCCCAACATCCAAGGCTCCATACAGTCCTTCTGGTACATCAGCAATTTATGTGTACTCTTTTAAACATAGTATGCCTTACTTGCTGCCCGCAATGTGACTTCACCTGACTAGGGAGACCAAACCCAAATTGGGTGACAGCAGAACACCTTTGCTCAGTCTGCAAATGTGACACCTAGCTCCCAGTTGCTTGCTATTTTAATTCACCACCTTGGTCTCAGGCTCACATTTCTGTTCTCAACCTGCTGCAGTGTTCCACAAAGCTGAATGCAAGAGAAATAGCATCTTACCTTCTGATTAGGCACTTTACAACCTTCTACAATTAATAGAATTCAACCATTTCAGGTATGAACTTTGTCCCTCATTTTACATCTGTTTTTTTGCCATGTGCCAGTTTGAATCCTCTTTTGCATGTCTTTGCTTTGGCACTGAGCCATCAATTATTTTGGCATTTACATTCACGATGGACAACTGCTTTGCCCTTTTATTCCATTACACCTTTGTCATATCTCTCCCACAATTCTCCTCAAAAAGTATGTTGCCATGAATAATTTATTAGAATTTTGAATCCGTTATCAGCAATAATAAGACTAAATTTCAGATGTACTCTTGTAAAAGAGTTGAAATTCAACTGAGTTCAATGTAACAGTAAGTGCTTCATGTTACCACTTGAAGCACTTAACAAGGATTGCTGCCTTTGTGGTACAGATTGGTTGGAGGATTGTCAGATCTCTCCTGTTCTCTACCTTATCCCAGACCCATTGCGTATTGGTTCAGTGTTTTCCCCTTTCTTTTGATAGCATATAATTCATCATATTTTTACTCTTGTCCATTTCTGAAGGACAGTTATATTCAATTCTAAATAGTAACTGTTTCTATCTCCACAGATGCTGCTAGAACTTTTGAGTAGTTCCAGCAATTTCTGCTTTTCATATAAAACATTGCTGCTTTGTGTCATCAAATATTAAATCGTGTAGATTTTCATGTTTCTGCGATTTTGAGTGTTAAATTCCTTTTTAAAAAAGTGTAAATATCATGTGAATTTCTTTGCCTTCGTGAGAAGCAATGCAGTGGTATTTTGCTGGGTCAAAACCCTGGAACACTATTCCTAACAGTGTTGTGCATGTACCCAGACCAAATGCTTTAGCGGATCAGGAAGACAGCTCAACATCACCTTCTCAAGGGCAAGCAGAGATGGGCAATAATTGTTGGACAAGCCAGGGAGCGTCATGTACCATGAATGAATAATTAAAATATAGGTTAATGTTAACCACATGAATTGAAAAGGAGCAACCTAAAGTAAAAGTGTTTCATTAGAGGAAGAAAAATTTGAGTGGGGTGAGGATGTATTGGTAGATTAAAAACAAGGATGCCAGGCAAAACTCTAGTTGAACGTGAATTACCTTTTTAAATAGGTATAGTCAAGGTACACTTCCCTGAAGAGAAATGGTCAGACAACCAAAGTCAGAACTCACCCAACAACGAGACAGAGAGATTGTGAGGTGAGCCGATAAAAGGTTCAGATATCAGATGGAAAATATGAGTGAGAAACAAATAGATTCAATATTAAATAATCTGAAAAGTTTAGTGGGGAAGGCCAAAAAGGAAATATGAGAATGAACTTCCAAAGACCTTTGAAAATGAAAAGGTGAAAGGGTGGGAGAACTTACCATCACCAAGGATAAGGTGCTGAGTAAAACTATTGGACCTAAATGGCCTGATTCCTATGGTCTTTGAAAAATGTGACAGTAGAGATAGTGAAGACATTGGTCATAAACTTCTAATTCTTAAAATTTGGAAGGCCCCAGTGGATTGGAAAATAGTTAATCCAAATCCATTATTCAGGATGTGGAGGTGCCGGTGTTGGACTGGGGTAGACAAAGTTAGAACATGACATCAGGCTATATTCCAACAGGTTTATTTGGAATCACAAGCTTTCGGAGTACTGCTCCTTCGTCAGGTGAAGTGACCTGATGAAGGAGCAACACTCCAAAAGCTTGTGATTTCAAATAAACCTGTTGGACTATAATCTGGTGTTGTGTGACTTCTGACATTATTCAGGAAAGGAGGAAGACAAAAAGTAGGAAATTATAGGTTAGTCAGAAAAGGCAAATTCAATGATGTCTTTCAAAACATAATTAGAAATGCACCTGAAAAGAAAAGGAAATTGCAAGGCTAGTTGGAATGGGCATGCCAGTGTGATTGACGGAGCTAATCTTGCAGAGAACTGATGCAGACAT